AAAGTTGTTTTGAATATATTTCTATGCATTACTAATGCATTTGATAAATTGTTGTGTATATGATCCCTTTTGCATTCATAGATACATTTTTTTTAAATTTTTAGTTTCAAACTCCTTATAGAGATACAAAAAGTGTTTACAGAAAAAATCCAATAGCAGCACTCTTGACAATTTTTTATCAAAGTAAATTACTTACTCTTTTTCGACAGAAGGTCAAGGAAAAGGACTAATGTTTTTATTATAAATCACTTGTCTTTTTTCATGGAAGACATTTCCCTAAAATTTATAAAGATTCAAGAAGCAAAGAATCATTTTTAGAATAATAAATATTAGTTTTACAATACAAACTAATGCTTGAACATTTATATCCTCAGCAATGATTTTATGAATATTAGAAATTAGTCATTGAGTACCCTATACATTTTGTTTTATTATTTTTGTCAAACAAGGCATATAAGAAAATTTTTAGTTTCAAACTCCTTATAGAGATACAAAAAGTGGTTACTGAAAAAATCCAATAGCAGCACTCTTGACAATTTTTTATCAAAGTAAGTTACTTTCTCTTTTAATAAGTGTAGCATTCTTTAGATCAAAGTTGTGGTTGAATTTATTTCTATGTATAACTAATGCATTTAATAAATTGTTGTGTATATGATCTCTTTTGCATTCATAAATGCATTTTTTTTTAATTTCTGCAAGTTTCTCCAATATGTTGTGAGGAGCAGTTCTGACAATTTATTCTATATGTACCTGCTTCAGAATTATTGGTATTTTGAGTTTTGAATCTGTGCCCCAGATTTTTTCAAATATCTCTATTTCTGAAAGAATTACTACTTTCTTAAGCCAACATACATAACTATAAAAATGTTAAAAAAAAATTTTTTTTAAATGACTAAATTCATAATCTCATGTTATTTAAAACATATAACGCATAAATTAATCCCAAATTAAAATAATTTAATTACTAATTTGTATTAAAATTTAAAAAAAAATTATTATTTACTCATTTTCATTTATTAAACATTGAATTGGTTTCAGTTAACATTCCATTGATTGACTAGACTTTTCTAAAAAGATAAGTTGATAAATATTCATGATGTTTTTAAATTTAAAAATTTTAAAAAGCATGCTTTCATTTTATTTTTGTATATATATATATATATATATATATATAATTGTTTAAAAACAAAATCCTTGCATAATAATCAGAGGTTGAGAAATGTGTTGGGTCCCTCAGAGGATTAAATGCATAAAGATAAGTTTTGTATTTATCCTTATTCATAGGGTTTTTTGCAGATATAAATATCTAATTTTAATACACAAATAAAACAAAATCTTAATTTTAAAACACACACATATATATATATATGTGTGTGTGTATATATAAATATATATATATATATATATATATATTTCAGTAGAGCCCGGCGTTGCCGAAGGGATGTAACAGTAAGAGATAGATAGATCAAGTATCGACCATCATAAAGACTGAAAAATAAAATTGACAAAGATTATTGTTTAAGGTTGACGGACACGCATGTCTTAATTTTTTTTTTTTTTTTTTTTACGAATTGATCAAACTAAATTAAAACAAAAACATTGTTTACAATCGTTATGAGTCTATCGATTGGTGAATAGAATTTTATTATAAAACAATTGTCTTGTAAATGGAATTTTAAAGCATTCTGAATGTAAAAATAAAGAAAAAAATGTGCAAGACAATAAGAAACACTACCTGCCAAAAAAAAAGTGAAGTTTTGTTGAAATCGGTTGAAAAAAAATGTAGGTAGCCTTTTCTGTAATCTTTTACAATTTATGATTTTTACTTATTGAATACAGTAAAAAAATTGCATATTTTGTTTGTGGTGATTCATAATTAGAATTCTGATTTGAATATATTTTCCACTCGTTGTTTCTAATACAAAAAAATATTAACTTTATTTGGGTTTATTAATTTATTATAAGTACTGTGTTCTTTCCTTAATAATTATCATCTTCGAAATATTGTTGTTTTTTGTCTATCAGATTTCTTACGTCGGCATTTTTTAAATTATTTCTTAATACTTTCTTTTTAAATATTGAATTAATTTCAAATAGAACCAATGCCTTATTGATCAATTTTTGTAACAAATTGCAAAGGGAATTGTAAAAACGGCCCTAAAGTACATGGAATTATCTTTCCCTAAAGATAAAGAATTATCTGATTTTTCGATAAAGTACAATCAGTAGAGATCGTTAGATTATTGTTTAGGTTGACGGACACGCATGTCTTTTTTTTTTTTTTTTTTTTACGAATTGGTCAAACCCAAACTCAAAAAAAACATTGTTTTCAATCGTTATGATGAGTCCCCCGATTGAATAGAATTAGAATTTTATTATAAACAATTGTCTTGTAAATGGAATTTTTAAAGCATTCTGAATGTATAAATAAAAAAAAAAGTGTGCAAGACAATAAGAAATACTAAAAAAAAAAAAGTGGATGTTTGTTTTATCGGCTGAAAAATGTAAGAAATCCGATCCCATATATAAAGGAAACACACACACACACACACACACACACTGGGTTTTTTAACCAACCTGGGTTTTTAACCTAAGTCACTCCACGGAATCGCTAAAACATAGAGCATAGTCTGATGAAAAAAGACGCCAAAGTTTATGAAAACAAAATTTTATCGTCAAAATGCTTATGTTTTTATGAAGAGGATAGACTAAATTTTTTAATTATTTTTAAAAATTTTTCCATCTTTTTAGAATATTCTAAATTTTGATTTAAAAACCTTGTTTCTCTTTGTCGCAACAAGGGGTAGTAAATAACATAGATAATTTTAGCGCGTTTTTTTTTTTGTATTTACACACATTAATTTGGAAAATCTTGCAAAAAATAAAAATAATTGTCAGATGTTAATGAAACTTTCAGAAACTATTCACAGATGATCGAAATTATTATAAATATGTTTTTTTTTTTTATTAAAGTCATGGCAGAAATATTTTTTTTATATTTATTAACACCCCCATAACTAATTTTATGAAAAACTCTAGAAATTCGAGACCATCGGTTTTAGTGATTACAATAGTTAAAAGCACAAGGCTTTGAATAATGCAAAATTTTTTTTTTTTTTTTTTTTTTTTTTGGCCAACGTACCTGAAAATCAGCTGTGAATTGTAACATACAAAACTCAATAAAACAAATATATTATTTAGTTTCAAATGCTTTTATTTGTTTTAATTTGTTTTTATGAATATGGACAATATTTTCTGAAAGCAAAAAATTTTTTCAATGAAAATTGAATTTTTAATACAATTATTTCTTATTTCTTTAATTTTAAAAGATTTTTTTAAAAAAATTTTTAAATTGAATTTTTAAAAATATTTTAACATTAGTTAAAAGCAACATCAACCTTTCAAAATGTCCGTGTGAGATTGTCATTGTCTAGCGCTTTGAAAATTGTATAATTTGGACCAATCAGATTAGCCATGGTAATTAAGAAATGTAATTTTTTGTGTTTATAGTCGGACAGTAATTATCAAGTACGGAAGACCAACCAGAATACAATTTAGTTGCATTATTTGAGTTCAGCATTGTTCTCCGCTGTTAAGCCCTTTACTTTTTTGCGAAACACGTATGGAGAAGTTAATTTGAGTTTTTCAATTTCAACTGAGAAGGGTACCTACAAGTAACAGTATCATCTTATGAAATTTAAGTACTGCTAAACTTTAATTTATATGATCTTATTTTTATATTAATCTCAGTTATAACATTTTTCCATAAATGAAATATCAAAATTAATAATAAAATGAATGGAAATACAAATAACACAGTAAAATGTAATAAATGTACATAAAATTATAGTATTTTATGTACACTTCTGATAAAATTTCATAAGAAAGGTACCTAAATTAATTAGATACCTTTTTCTTATGAAATTTAATCTCACTATTAACAGTCTTATTTTTTTAATTTCTTTATATTTTCCATAAAGCATCGTAAACGTAAAAATGAAAGCTAAGTACAAAAAAAAATAAAAAAAATAAAAAATAACTTTCAGCGCTCGAATTTTTTTTCCTTAAAAGTAACGAGGTAAATAATTTGTTCACTTATATAATTTCACTTCCTTCCATCCGTAGAAAGAATTATCCTCCCGTAAGTTATCTAAACGTCATGAATGTGCCTTTCGTCAATCGTCAAGCGACGCGAAAGGTTATGACCTGCTTTGTTTTATTTTCAAATTACATTTTTTCGGCGCAGAAGCTAAGTTAAGCTTGGTTCAAAATATTTTAAATAAACAGTATAATTTCTGTTTTTATTAAAATCAGTTTTGAAAAAATGATAATTGATTTTTAAAAGAATATCAAAGTCAGATTTTAATCTTTTTTATCAAATCGAAAAAAATGATTGAAAATGATTGATTATCTGTCCTTTTTTTTTGACCAAAAAAAAAACAATATTTTTAACGAAAATTTCAGACGTGCTAGGAACGATTAAAAAATGTAAAAAAAATACCCCAAAAATACTTTGATCTTTCCTCTTTAATAATAATATGAACATTAGACGATAAAATTTTGTTTTCGTCAAGTTCGGCTTTTTTTTTTCATCATGCTATGCTCTTTTGTTTACATTTTCGTGGGTGAGTTGTCCCCCTTTCATTCTCACGATGTGTCTTAATCGTGTTTTCAAATTGATTTTGTTAAAAAAACAATTGTGTTTTTCCCATTTTCGGCGCCGTTAGAACCACCACAAGGTAATTTTATGTAGTCCTGTGAAGTTTTGTTGAAATCGGCTAAAAAATGTAGGAAATTCGATCCAATATATAAACGTTACAGACACACACACACACACACACACACACACACACAATCTGCATTTTATAATAAGTAAGATATATATATATATATATATATATAATTATCAATTTATTAATTAAAATTAATTTATGTATTACTATTCAATGACCTGTTTATCTAATATTTTTCCTTTAAATTTTATTTTTATTTCTCTTCAGGTAATCACAGACCTCCTAAGTAACACCTGTTATTATGGATGAACTTTTAAGGACAGGTAAATTAAAATTGATATACCTGGTATTTGTCACTTTATTTGTGATAAGCTGTACCCATAGTTTAAGTGACAATAGCAGTGCTATCATTGAGCAAGGAAAAGATATTGTCAAGGATTTTTACCGCAGATTCTCTGGCAAAGAAGTTGATCTTGTTTTTATTCTTGACCGATCAGCCAGTATTTCTTCCCAGGGATGGAGTTCAATGGTCACATTCATTCGGTCACTCCTTGAACATTTCTCTGTGACAAGTGACCACACTCGTTTGGCCATTATCACCTACAGTTCATATGTTAGCCTCGAGATTAATGATTTGAATGAAATCCATGCCACAAAATGTTCTTTGATGCAGCAGATAAAACATTATTTTAGAACAAAAGATCCCATCAGGTTATACTGCAACATACCAAGCCCTGAAAAAGGCTCAGTCAATTCTGCTCAACTCAAGACGCAATGCAAAAAAGTCAGTTTTTGTTTTGACTGATGGAAGGTCAAATGTTGGTCCGAATCCTGTACAGGCATCCTTAGAAATCCGTTCCTTACGCTGGAATAGTACCTGGAATACGACAGCATTTGGACCTCAAGTGGAAATATATGCATTTGGAATCAAAGATGCTCACCTACCTGAGCTCAAGTCTATTGCTTCTCAAATCTCAAATCACACTTTTTTTATCCCGGATTTTAAGACATTTGCCAGTCTTGCAAGACAGTTACATAATGGTAAGTGGGACTTTTTATTTTGCTTTATGAATGAAGAAATTTCTCTGAATTATGGAATTTAAATATTTTCATGACATATTTACATTGAAGTTTTCTATACTTTTGCATTTACTATACACACATGAATGAGAAAATTATTATTTACATATGCCAAACCTATGTTCATGTACATACATGAACAACCTATTTAAAGTTTGAAAATTATAAGAGTGACTCAATAAGTTCATAGTTTGATATATAGTTATTAAATTTGGTCTGGATTTGTTACTGTATAATATTTTGGTTTTGTTATTAATATTCCCTATTAGTGTGTGTTGACAAGGAGAGAGATTTTCGGCACTATTTTGAGAAGGCCAAGGAAAAGTACAATAGACAAATGTTTTTATTATAAATCAGACATTTCACTAAAATTTATAAAGATTCAGAAAGTAAAGAATCATTTCAGGAATATTGAAATATTACTTTACAATACAAACTAATGCTTGAACATTTATATCCTCAGCAATGATTTTATGAATATTAGAAATTAGTCATTGAGTACCCTATACATTTTTTTTTATTATCTTTGTCAAACAAGGCACATGAGAAAATTTTTAGTTTCAAACTCCTTATAGAGATACAAAAGCTGATTTTTTTGTTGAAATGGAGTCATGTAGATCACATGATAGCCAACTTAGTGAAGTTCCTTTCAGATAGTGATGAAAGTGGCCAGTCTGTCAGTCAGCTTCCAGGAGTCAAACCGAGTAATTGCTTTTTTTAGCTGAGTAGCATTGTTTTCCTTTGAGAATATATCTTCACCAGATATAGAAACTATATCTGGCTCACAGTCCTCATGTTGGGAAAAAACCCATGATTTGCTGTTTCCTGTTTGAGAGGAATATGGTAAAAAAATAGTTTTAATTCTAAACTTTTTTTTTCATGGGCAAAGAAAAAAAATCCTCTTAATATTAAGTTTCTTACATAGCTACAAGCAACACACAGAATTTAAGCATCTTTTTCAACTATAAATATCCATTTTCCTTTTCAAAGATGGAATTAAATACCTGTTTTTGAGATGAAGTATTTTTTAATACCACAGCCTCATTTTTAATGATTTTTTGTCATAAATTTTGAGATGAGAGTTTTCATTTTTCATCAACTTTGTAACTGAAAAAGGAAAACACTAGCCTTATAGACTCACTTCATTATTTGATTATCTTTATTTACAGGATTATTGAACATCTAATATTCAGTAGGTGAACATAGTTCAATTCTAAACCTATTTTTCTCTCATTAGAATATTTCACCACTCAATATTGCTTAGATAATTGAACTACTTCTTTGTATATTTGCTGTTGTTAACAGAATGTTTTGAATAATTCATTCTTCAGTTCTCATCAGGAAGGAGTTGAATGAGGATATATTGACTTGCTAGCTAGGTTCATAAATTTTCAACATAATCTGGTTTTCCTTGCTTAGTAAAGTGGGTATTTGAGAACTTTCCCACCTCCAGGTCTACTTAGTATCTAGGGTACTTAGTAGAGGGTAGTATCTTAGTAGAGGGTATTCTGCCCATGTTGCCTGTACAACAATCTCTTTCTGCTACACACCATGAGTGTCATCTACAGAATTACTACTGTCCCCTAGCAAGCAATGTAGCCAATTATATAGTACGTGGCAGGTGTTGATACATTTGCATAGGTGTGATGTCCATTTTCCTCCCAATGTTGTCAATGCGCACACATGCATCTAAGCCTCAAAACAGATTTCCTGTTACAACTGCAGCAACTTGTACTAGGTAAGCCATGCTCTGCATTACTAGAGTATCCTTAAGGTTGTGGCCTGTTAGGGGCCAGAAAGAAAGACATGGGAAGAAAAAGATAAGTTAAACAAGTGTATTGAAATAACAGATATATACAAAGTAAGAGTGTTATTAGTCAGCAGATAAAAGTGTCCATCCAAAGTGTCAGGTTACACTGCATCTCAATTATATATTTAACAGTCCCCCCCATGAGGAATATATGTGGCACAAGGCCGAGTTTAACATGGGTTTCTCTGAGTCCGTAGGCTCGGCCAAAAATATTCCCTTAGAACCCACATGAGCGGGTTCGGGATGTCTACTTCCCCAGACCAAACTTTGCCCTTTGGCAAAGCTTCGTCTGGGTTCCTCTCTGCCAAAGCAGAGAGTTCGACAGAAGTCACACAGTCAGAGACTGCGTCCCGACTACCTCGAGGAAGTCTCACAGGTTGGTATTTATTTAGGAGGAAGAGTTCATTCCCATGTAGATAGGTCACCATAACACTTAATAATGCTGAATTGGATTAGTTTCAGTAGGTTATAGTAGGATATTTGTTTTTTCCTTCAAGAGAGATATTTTCTATCTTTTTCCTCTTTGGATTCTTTGGAATACACCTGTTGAGGTCTGAAGAAGAGATCCAACCAAAACAATAGAAAGTATACAAAGAAGGGGTTGGATTGATCAAAATAAAATTTGGCATGTTAATGAAAAAGAAAAAAAAAGTTATAGACAATTTATTAGGGGGTGGGGTTATTCAAAATAAATGAATCCATCTAAAGTCAGAAGGAGATTAATGGATACAACTTGTAAAATTTGATAAAAATCAGAGAGTTAACAATTGGGAAAATTAAATTTAAAATTAAAAATTGAAAAAGAGAATAAGTGGGAAAATAATTATTGAATACAAAAGGGTATTTTGTCAGCAGTAACTTTTAAATATTATTAAAATATTCTAATGGGGTAAAAATAAACATTCATAAAGACAGACACTCTGATTTAGAATTGAACTAATTATGTTCACCTATTGAAATATTATTATGTGAAATGAGATATTTATATTTTTTGCTATCATACTTCAAATAAAAGATAATTTTTCTCTTGAAGATTGGCTATGCTACCAGTAATTCTTTTAATTTTCTTGATGCTGTATTTTTCTTCCTATTATACATTCATCATGTCTGGTTTTGAGCTGTCACTAATGACATTCAGTGCAGAATTGGAAGAAAAAAATGAAAAATAAAAAAAGTAATCCATCTCCCAGGTCCCAGAAAAGTAGAGCAAACCCTATGACATGATTTCTCTTACATTTCATATCCTGATCTTACCAAAATTGTATTTAATGGGGTCAGTCAAAAAAATCCCTTTACCTCCATTTCCTTCCTTTTCTTCTTTACTTCTCCCACCCCAAAGTGTACATAAAACTTTGTGAGTAAAAGTGTTAGAATGTAAATTTGGCTTTTAACTTACAGACAGGATGCTCCTACCAAAAATGGAGTCTGTTCAGGGATTAAGATTTCTTGATCTCCATGTGTTAAGGGCACTAATGTCTGACACTTGCCCTTTTACTGTGTATGGGATTAAACCAATTTGAAATAGTTATGACCAACAGATAAATCAACTTTAGTAGTTAGCATAAAGAGACAAGCAAAAATAAATAAATAAATAAAAGGCCAATCATATTAGTCTTGATGCTATTATGTGTGAGTGTGCTTGAAAATGTATATAGCCTAAAATTATGCAAAATTTAACAGAGAAGGTTAACAAAAAAGTGTAAGGCATCTTATTACTGTCATCAGGAAATTTCCCAATAAAATAGAGAAGTATTTTTTGATGTAGAAATCTTTGGTTATCATGTGAATTAATATATTAATTAACCTAAATTGTTAATTCCAGTGATATTGGTAAGTGTATTCATAAACATAGAGAAAGTTCTAGAAATATCAAATGGAGAATACTTGCACATCTTTTCTGTTTAAGGTATATATAGTATAATTCTTGATCTTCACAATGAACATGATTTCAAGGTGGGCTTCAATTTAACTGAATTGAGTTCTAGATTTTTCCATAGCCAAATTCACTCATGGAATGCTATTACACATGTATCAGTTTCTTTTTAACTCTACAAAATCCTCTTTTGAAATTTCCTCATCTATTCATCTTATAGATGGGAAAATTTCAAAAGAGGATTTTGTAGAGTGAAAAAGAAACTGATACATGTGTAATGAAGTTCCAAGGAAATATTTGAAGTCACCATTGCTCTATAAAGATTATTTTTTATCCTCGGTATTAATGGTTGGATTATTTCTGGCCAGATCTCATACAACGACATATAAGTTGTTGGCTAAGTTCCAGTCCATAACATCTGAGACATTAGAAAATCCTGAAGGATAATTAGAGCTGGATCAGGAAGAATTGTACTTTGTCAGGAAAAATCATTCTGCCAAAGTCTTTGAATTTGTAAATTGTGTTACATTTGAGAACAGAAAAGTAAACCCACTGTTTGTGTATGTGTAAATCTTTGATTTTCTTTTTCAAAGTTCATGCTTCTTAAGGTGGGGAAACCATTATCATAGATGATAAGAAAGGATAATTGGATGTTAAAATGATATGTATAAACAGAAGAATGCCACATCATTATGATGCCAATGCCAACATTGAATTGAAAAAAGAAATGTTCTGTTTTGTTATCATTAGAAGATACAAGGGATTTCTGCAAAAGCATACTATATGCAATTGCTAACTGTTGCAACACTCCTGATTACTATGTTTTTCACATCTTCCCAAATTTTATGAATGATCAATGTTTCCTAAATGACAATGATATCAAAATGGTACTGCAAATTTTCTTTGTTATAAAACTAATTTTAGTCAAATTAAAAGAAATTTGACATATGCATATGGGGATTATACTGAATAATTGCACTTTTTCATTTTAGAGAAATGATAAAATTTGTTGAATGCACAAAACGTTGGAAGTCTTTTTACCAACTAAAAAAGAAATAGCATTTATTACATATATATATATAAAAGTAGACATTGAGGTCAACACCGAGGGTTGACAGTCTGTTTCATGCTTAATTATCAGGCCATTTATATATGCTCTATTCCTGATATTGAGCACTTTAACTCATAAATATAGAATATATTAAAACTATATTTTTATATATATATATATATATATATATATATATACTACAGGACTGATGATAGATAAAGACAGAA